ACAGCATTGAGACCCTGAGTTCAAACCCTAGGACCAGCACTAATAATAATAATAAACAAATTAAGCCATTTGTTTATAATTGGTTAACAAATACTGACCAAGGACAAAAGAAAACTAAAGAGTGTGTCCTTAGATTATTCAAAATCAGTCTGGTGGAAAGTGAGAGATTGGGTATGATTGATACAATCGTGTGTTTCAGTAAAGACAGCAAAATTCTATGTAGGCTTAACAGTTAAGTTTCCCTTTACTCCTTTCTGTAATCAGTATGCCCAGCCCTCTTACCATAGCCAGTTCTCTTGTAAATAAATATATATGCCTAGAGGACCTGGACATTTGAGCACAAACCTGGCATTCATTCATTGGTATCTTTGTAAAGATTGCTATCTTTGTATATAGTAACTGCAAGAATATGATGCAGTAACATTTCTTTTTCTTTTTTGGGGGGGGAGGTGGGGGGGGGGCCCAGTCGTGGGGCCTGAACTCTGGGCCTGAGCGCTGTCCCTCAGCTCTTCAGCTCAAAGCTAGCGCTCTACCACTTGAGCCACAGTGCCACTTCCGGCTTTTTTCTTTTTGCTTATGTGGTGCTGAGGAATCAAACCCAGAGCCTCAAGCATGCAAGGCAAGCGTTCTACCACTGAGCCACCTTCCCAGCCCTGATGCAGTAACATTTCTACCTTTAAATGTGCAGACCTATCAAGCAGTTTATTTGTTTTAACTCTTATAGTATGTGAATCTTCTAGTTAAGTATCGCATATTGACTCTATGCTTTTATTTATTGTCTCTTATAAGACCCAGTTAAAACAATGGATAAAAAACAAAGTTTTAAAAATTACTACAAGGGCAGGGAGATTTCTATATATATTGAGAGATTAGAGTGTTGGAGAAATGGCACAAATGAAGACATTAAGACATTAAAGAGGGCAAATATCTATGGGAAGTGAACTAGTTTCCTTTTAAAAATTCCAGAGGGAGCTGAGTGCTGGTGGGTCACACCTGTAATCTTAGCTTCTCAGGAGGCTGAGATCTGAGGATTGTGGTTCAAAGCCAGCCTGGGCAAGGAAGTCTGAGACTCTTATCTCCAATTACCCACCAGAAAACTGGAAGAGGCACTGTGGCTCAAGTGGTAGAGTTCTCACCTTGTGCTGAAGAGCTTAGGGATAGCACCCAGGCCCAGAGTTCAAGCCCCACGACTGACTAAAATAAATCCAGAGGAGGCTGGGAATGTGGCTTAGTGGTAGAGTGCTTGCCTAGCATGCATGAAGCCCTGGGTTTGATTCCTCAGTACCACATACACAGAAAAAGCCAGAAGTGGTGCTGTGGCTCAAGTGGTAGAGTGCTAGCCTTGAGCAAAGGAAGTTCAGGGAAAAGTGCCCAAGCCCTGAGTTCAAGCCCCAGGACTGGCAAAGAAAAAAATTCCAGAGGCTAAGGATTTAGAAGTACACAATACTGTCCATGTGGGGAGTGGAAGGTATGCTACCCAAACTGAAAGAAGGGCATTAGTTGGAAATCTGTATAGGAAATATCAAAGGTTCCTCAAGACTCACTCTTCCACCCTATAGAACCATACAAATAAACCCCCATTTGTGGGGATCAAGAAAAGTTGATCAGGAAAAGTTCACAAAAATACAAAAATCATTAATTCAATGAAAGTCAAATATGCATCAGTCCTTTTCCTTTGTCTGCTTTCAGAATAGTTGTAGACTGACTCATAGCTCTCAAAGATTGGAAGAATTTTCTCCAAACTGAATACTCTGAGGGAAAAAAATACTTTAGGTATCTTGCACACTTCCTCATCATCAATGAAAACCCAACGTTGTTTAATACTTTTCTTTACTAGATAGCAAAAGATCACCAGACATTCAGGGGAGAAAAAAAAGATATGGGACACAACGAGGTTAAAAAGGAAGAAGTAAACCTATTTTTGCTGATTAGCCACATATTTGAGTTTTTATTTAAAAACATTCATAACACCTATAAAACTACAAGAATTAAGCATAGTAACAATATAAGAACAGAATGGAATACTCACATTTCTGTGTGCTAGCAGTGACCAATTGAAATTGAATGTGTTTTGTTTTGTTTTGTTTTTGTGCTTGGGCATTATCTCTGAGATTTTTTTAGTCAAGGCTAGCATTCTACCATGTTTTGCCATACCTTCCTCCTCTGGCTTTTTGGTGGTTAATCATCAAAGATAAGAGACTTAAGGATTTTTCTGCCTGGGCTGGCTTTAAACTATTATCCTCAGTCTCAGTTTCCTGAGTAGCTAGGATTATAGATGTGAGCCAACAGTGCCTTTTTATTGTTGTTGTCTGTTTTGATTTGTTTGTTTATGGAAACTAGAGTTGAATCCAGGGCCTTGCACATGCTAGACATGTGCTCAACTATTTGAAAGTCAGACTTCAAGCCCTGTTTGATGTAGGTTTAGTTTTCATGATGCTGGGATTGAACCTAGGATTTTGTTCATGCTAGACACAGTATTGCAGAGCTATACCTTCAGCCCCATAACTAAATTTTAAAGCTATCTTTAAAGGAGCATCAAAAATTAGAGTTTCCAAAAGTCTGACAAAAGTGTTAAATTGAACACTGTACACTGTACTACAAAACATTGTTGAAATTAAAGCAAACCTAAATAGCGAGGCTTGGTAGCTCATGCTTGTAATCTACATTTGGAGGCAGAGATGAGAAAAGCAGTTTGGAAGCCAATCTGGGCAAAAAGTTAGACACTATCTCAAATAACAAACTTGGCATGTGGTACATGCCTATAATGCTAGCTATTGGGGAAGAAGTGGTAGGGAAATTGCTGTCCAAGAACATCCCTGGCCAAAAGCACAAGACTCTGAAAAGTAACTAGAGCAAACAGACTGGGAGCATGTTTCAAGTGGTACAGCATTTGCCTAGCAAATGTCCTGAGTTCAAATCCCAGTACTACCAAAAGGGGAAAAAAGGCAAGGTTAATAGATTAACTGTTGTAGATCAGATGACTCAATGTTTAAGAAAACAAAATCAAGAAGTTAAACTGAATTTTGGTGACTCTCATACCTAAAATCCTAGCTACTTAAGAGGCTAAGAAAAGAAAGATCATGGTTTAATGTCAGCCTGGGCAGAAAATTACTAAAGACCCTTCTCAATCCATAGCTGGTGCAATGGTACCTGTCATTTTAGCTGAGGTCAGGAGGCTTGAGGTTCCAAGACAGTTCGGGGTAGAAAAATCCATGAGAGTCCATGTCTACCAAAGCTAAGCTTGGGAGCTTACACCCATATTCTAACTGTGACAGGGAATCTAAGACTTTATCTAAAAACTAACCAGTGTCAGCTGAGCACCAGTAGTTCATCCTGTAATCCTAGCTACTTAGGAGGTAGAGAGGGGAAGGATTATGGTTTTAGGCAGCCCTACAGAAGATTCTATCTCAAATATAACTAGCAGGGCTGGGAAGTTGGCTCAGTGGTAGAGCGCTTGCCTTGAATGCCTGAGGCCCTGGGATCGATTCCTCAGCACCACATAAGAAAAAAGAAAAAAGCTGGAAGTGGCGCTGTGACTCAAGTGATAGAGTGCTAGCCTTGAGCTGAAGAGCTGAGGAACAGTGCTCAGGCCCAGAGTTCAGGCCCCATGACCGGACCCCCCCTCCCCCGCCAAGAAATATATAACTAGCAACAAATAAATGAGGTGTTGCTTAAGTGATAATGCACTAATTTAGCAAGGGGGAGGGGACCCAGAATTCAAACACCAGTGCAGCCAAAAATATAAAATAATCATATAGTCACTTCATTAAATTAAAAATAGGTTCCATGCAATTCCATCACAATCCTAGCAGGCTTTTCAAGAAAAGAAGACTTGTAGTGTATACTTTGAATGCTTATTATGAAATGATAGTAATCAAGGCAGACTAGTATTATAAAGGTAGAGAAACAGATTGTGAGAGAGCAGAACTGAAATTTTGTGGAGGGGAAAAGGAACTGTTGTATTTGAATTTACAGGTAATTTTGACAAATGAGTGACAGAAATATTCAAAAAATTATGCACAAATGGCTTGGACAGTTTTTAATTTATTATTTTTTTAATTTAATTTTTTAAAGTAAGTTTTTTATTGTGAAAATACTGTACAGAGGGGTTACAGTTACATGAGCAAGGTAATGAGTACATTTCTTATCTAGTATTGTTTTTCCCTACCATCCCTTCCCTCTAACCTCCACAACTACACTTCCCCATCCCCCACCTCCTGTTTTTTTTTTTTGTTGTTGTTGATTGTGGGACTTGAACTCTGGGCTTGGGTACTGTCCCTGAGGTCATCAGCTCAAGGCAAGCACTCTACCGCTTGAGCACCAGCACCACTTCCAGTTTTCTGGTGGTTGATTGGAGATAAGAGTCTTACAGACTTTTCTGCCCAGACTGGCTTTGAACCATGATCCTCAGATCTCAGCTCAGCCTCCTGAGTAGCTAGGATTACAGCTGTGAGCCACTGGCGCCTATCTTTGGACAGTTTTAAACTGTGGCAATTATAAACTACAATAAAATGAGAGTAGACTTACACAAAAAAGAGAAGTGGCTTCTGTAAACTCTGTGTTGTTACTGTCTGCACCTCTGTTTTATAATAGATGCAGTACTTTCCTTCTTTTTTTTTTTTTTTTTTTTTTTTGGGTCCGGTCGTGGGGCCTGAACTCTGGGCCTGGGCACTATCCCTCAGCTCTTCAGCTCAAGGCTAGCGCTCTACCACCTGAGCCACAGTGCCACTTCCGGCTTTTTTTCTTTTTGCTTATGTGGTGCTGAGGAATCGAACCCAGGGCCTCAGGCATGCAAGGCAAGCGCTCTACCACTGAGCCACTTTCCCAGCCCGGTACTTTCCTTCTATACCCTAAGAATACTTGCTATCAGCCAGTGTTCTTAGGGGAAATTTCTTTTAGAATAATGTTTCTAATATGTTTTAGGAAAAGTACAAATACAGAATTATAAGTGCCATTATTATCCTTATTTAAATAGATTCCCCCCTTTTATTGCCTTCTAGGAAGTAAAAAGAAAGAAAAGGAACGGCCAGAGATTTCTCCTCCATCTGATTTTGAGCACACCATCCATGTTGGCTTTGATGCCGTTACTGGAGAATTTACTGTAAGTTTTCATAGTTGGGGTTCATTATAACATTATAACATTTATAACATTAAAGCAGCACTCAAGCTGGGTACTTGTGGTTCACATCTGTAATCCTAGCTCCTCAGGAGGCTGAGATCTGAGGATTGCAGTTCAAAGCCAGCCTAGGCAGGAAAGTCTGTGAGACTCTTATCTCCAGTTAAACAACAAAAAGGTAGAAATGGTGCTGTGGCTCAAGTGGTTGAGTGCTAGCCTTGAGCAAAAGTGTTCAGGGACAGTGCCCAGGCCTTTGAATTCAAGCCATATGACCAACCAAAAGAAAAACAACATTCAAGCCTTTTCCTTTAGTGTAAGTTTAAAGTTAACTTCTCTGTTCACATGTTGTCAATCCTTACTGCTGTTTGCCTATCATGAAAGTATTAGTGGTTGGATTTTCTTTTTCTTAGAAAGCTAAATTTTAACTGTAATGATACAAAATAGATGTAGAAAAACAGATACTTAAATAACTAGACCTGTTAGAATTTTAAGTCAAACCTGCTGGGCATGGTGGTATAATAAACCCAGCATTTGAGAGGCTGAAGCAAAATTAGGAGTCAAGGCCACTGCTGCTACATAGTAATACCTATGTCAGACTGATAACCTTATGTCAAAAAAATTAACTAAAATTATGTTTATTTAAAATAATTTATTTATTTATTTGGTTGGTTGGTTGTGGGGCTTGAACTCCGGGTTTAGGCGCTGTCCCTCAGCTCTTCAGCTCAATGCTAGTGCTCTACCCACTTGAGCCACAGTGCCAGTTCCTGTTTTCTGAGTGATTTATTGGAGATAACAGTCTCATGGACTTTCCTGCCTGGGCTGGTTCAAACTGCAATCCTCAAATCTCAGCTTCCTGAGTAGCTAGGATTACAGGTGTGAGCCACTGGCACCCAGTGAATTATGTTTATTTTTGTATTTTTATCATTTGTCTCTGAAAATTGACTTCATTAGAGCAATTCAAACCACAGCTGAGTTCCTTGGAAGTCAGGGTTTTATGTTTGCTAGATATATATGCTCTATTTGCCATTGCTTTTTTCCTCTTGTTTTCTTTTGAGATAGAGAGTTTGCCTATTTACACATTCCATTCTTGACCCGGTTGACCAGCTGCCTGGTTGCCTTTTGTTTGGTTGGTTGGTATTTTTTCTCCTGTTAAGGTTAAGTCTTACTAACTTTTAGCCTGGATGGGCCTGGAACTAATTCTTCTAATCTAAATCTTTTAATCACTGTTCCCAGCTATTGATAAAGATGGGGTATTAGGAACTTTCTTGCCCAGCTGGCCTCTACTATATGCTCCTAGTTGCTACCTCCCAAGTAGCTAGGATTAATACCATAAGCCATTGGTGCCTGCCTCAAATCACAACTAATTTCTGAATTTCTTTTTATTAGGGCATGCCAGAACAGTGGGCTCGGTTGTTACAGACTTCCAATATCACGAAATTAGAGCAAAAGAAGAATCCTCAGGCTGTGCTGGATGTCTTAAAGTTCTATGACTCTAACACAGTGAAGCAGAAATATCTGAGTTTTACTCCTCCTGGTAAGAAAGATGACAGTGGTAAAAGGCTGAACATGGACAGTCATGAAGCACTACTGGATAAAAAAGATTACTTCTGGAAAATGAAAGGCTATATACTGTACTTCTTCACATATTTTCCTACTGCAGAGATTCTGCCTTTGTAAATTTATGGGGGTTAAGCATAATTGGGGATCTGGGAATTATATTAATCTCACAATTTTACCAGTTGGTGGATATTTAGGCTGTTATTTTGTATGGTCTTTTCTTGCTTAATTGCTTTTCAGTGACTTCCCAATAGAAGGGAAAAAATGTTAATATTTAGATGTGTTAGTGAGATAGGATGAAAATTGTTTCACTATTAAAAAAAAACAAACTTCGAAGTAAAAAAAAAAAAGTTTCTACTCAAAAAGTGAAACTCATCAAATATGTAAATGTAGAAAATATGAGTGATAACTAAGTGGATTTATACCTTAAAATTGAAGATCACTGGATAAGAATTGGAATGTATTAGACTCTTGAAAATAGCTTGTTTACGGTTAGGAAGGCAGCTCAGTGGTAGAGTGCTTGACTCCCATGCCTGAGGCCCTGGGTTTGATTCCTCAGCACCACTTAAGCAGAAAAAGCTGGAAGTGGCACTGTGGCTGAAGTGGTAGAGCGCTAGCCCTGAGCTGAAAAGCTGAGACCCTGCGCCCAAGCCCAGAGTTGAGGCCCTACAACCAACCAACCAACAAAAAAAAAAATAGCTTGTTAAGGATGGGAATCAAACCTACACATAGCTTAAGTGAAGTCTTAGGTGCATTCAGATTCAAGTTTTCCTCCTTACTCTGGAAAAGATCATTTATCCTGTTTCCCTTAGTATGAATTTTGCTAATTATACCCCAGATGTCAGTTAATATGTTTTTCTGTACCTGGGGTTATATGTGTAATTATTTTAAAATAAGATATGTATATGTTATATATGTTTTAATTAATTATACTTTATATATACCCAGAAAAAAAGACTTTGCTGAAGGGGTATAGAGGCCTTTTTGCCAGGTTCTCTTGACTTTTTTTTTTTTTTTTTTTGGTCAGTTCGAGGGCTTGAACTCTGGGCTTGGGCACTGTCCCTGAACTTTTCAGCTCAAGGCAAGTGCTCTACCACTTTTGAGCCACAGTGCCATTTTTTATTTTAATCTGATAGTCTCAGTTAAAGTCAGACTTGTCCATACAACATTTTGGTCAACTAGTCTATGTAAATACAGTTTTCTTTCTTTTTTGTTCTGATTTTTGTTTTTGCCAGTCCTGGGGCTTAAACTCAGGGCCTGGCACTGTCCCTGAACTACTTTGGCTGAAGGCTAGCACTCTACCACTTGAGCCACAGTGCTGCTTCCGGCTTTTTCTGTTCATGTGATACTAAAGTATCTAACCCAGGGCTTCATGCATGCTAGGTACACCAAGCCACATTCCCAGTCCCTACAATTTTCTTTTTTAATGTTGAATATTACATGTAAATGTAAATGAACACGTTTCTTTAAGAAACTATGTTTGACCAGAAAATGGTATTCTTTCCACCCACTATACAAATAGTAACCCAGGCTGGGCACTGGTGGCTCACATATGTAATCCTAGCACTAAGGAGGCTGAGATCTGAGGATGGAGGTTCAAAGCCATCCAGGCAGGAAAGTTTGTGAGACTCTTATCTCCAATTATGAAACTGACCCTGTGGCTCAAGTGGTTGAGTGCTAGCCTTGAACTGAAGAGCTTAGAGACAGTGCCCAGGCCCAGAGTTCAAGCCCCAGGACCAACAACAACAACAAAAAATATTAATCCAGATACCAGTAGGTCACACCTATAATCCTAGCTGCTCAGGAGGCTGAGATCTGAGGATTGCAGTTCCAAGGCAGCTTGGGCAGGAAAGTCTGAGAGACATTTTTTTTTTGTTTTTTGGTCAATCGTGGGTCTTGAACTCTGGGCCTGGGCACTGTCCCTGAGCTCTTCAGCTCAAAGCGAGTGCTCTACCACTTGAGCAACAGTGCCACTTCTGGTTTTCTGGTGGTTATTTGGAGATAAAAAGTCTCAAAGACTTTCTGCTGGGTCAGGCTTTGAATCTTGATCCTCAGATCTGAGCCTCCCGAATAGCTAGGGTTACAGGCTTGAACCATGGGCTCTAGGCTAGGAAAGTCTGTGAGACTCTTATTTTAAATAAACTACTCAGAAAAAAAACCCGGAAATGTCACTCTGACTCAAAGTGGTAGACGCAGTAGCCTTGAGCTAAAGACCTCAAGGATAGTGCCCAAGTCCAGAGTTCAAGTCCCATCCATGACCAACCAAGAAAAAAATAAAAGCTTAGGGACAGTGCCAAGGCCCAGGACTAGCAAAAAAAAAAAAGTATATACACACATAATTTCGAGGCATTTCAAAAAGAAAATCTTAAATTTAAGAATTTTATTTTATACAATCACCATTATTTGAATAGTAGTGCTATATTCCTTGGCACAGTTTTATGGAGAACATCTTGAACAGTAAAGTTTATTTTAATGGATACAGATTGATAGGCGTAATTTCAATTAAAATTTTAGTTTGACAGGTGTAGTTTCAATTAAAATTTTAGTTTACTGCACATAGTTTACATAGAATAAAATTCACCCATTTATATGAGTCATTTGCTCAGTCTCAAATTCTTTTTTATATTGGCATTATCATTTTTCTGCTGAATAAACCATGGAAACATACTGAACATGTGATTTTATTAGCTATCACTCTTCTTACTGAACCTGGCTGTTAAGTGCCCCAATGATTTTTAATAAATTTTTGAGATTTCGCTAAGAATTGAGTTTTTAGCTTGAGTTCTTTAAGTTAAAGATTACTGTTTGAATACTAGTATTTTCATGTTTTTCAGCAGGTAATTTAAACTGAAATCAACACTTCATTGCTCTTCTTTGTTGTTGTTGTTGATTTTTTTATCTCGCTCTCATGAATACTCACATTCTTTTCTGCTCCAAATTTAGAGAAAGATGGCTTCCCTTCAGGAACACCAGCAGTAAGTTAATTATTTCTTGTAACTTTTGTTCTAATTTAGGGTACCCAAACCAAATATCAGTGTCTATTTTGCTGTCTAAAGTAAATTCAATCATACAGATAAATAAATACTTGGAATGTTTTAATTTAGTCATTTGATTAGTTGAAGAAGCCTTATTAAGGAAATAGAATTTCCTTTATAGGGTATTTAAAGTAATGTAAATTTATCCAGAGCAGTTTTAACTACCTTCAGTAATGTTTCTGTATATAAACATGGTTACAAAAAACTTGCCAGCATATTCATTCCTCCCACCTACCACTTCTTCTATTACCATTCTACTAAATAGACTATAGAAACACTAGCTGGATGCTGGTGGCTCATGTCTGTAATCCTAGCTACTTGAGAGGCTGAGATCTGAGGGTGGAGGTTTGAAGCCAGCTGGGGCAGGAAAGTCCATGATATCCTCATCTCCAATAAACTACTTTAAAAAGGCTGGAAGTGGTAGAGCCCTAGTCTTGAGCAGAAGCAGCTCCAGGACAGCACCCAGGCCCTGAGTTCAAACCCTAGGACTGGCAAAACAAAAAAAGTAATAAAAAAAAAATATGTAAGGACCAAGCCAGGTGCTGGTGGCTCACGCCTATAATCCTAGCTACTCAGGAGGCTGAGATATGAGGATCGCGGTTTAAAGCCAGCCCGGGCAGCAAAGGCTGTGAGACTCTTAACTCCAATAAACCACTGGAAAACCGGAAGTAGCTCTGTGGCTCAAGCAGTAGAGCACTCACCTTGAGCTGAAGAGCATAGGGACAGTGCCCAAACCCAGAGTTCAAGCCCCACGACTGACCAAAAAATAAAAATAAGGACCAGAATTTAGCTCCGTGTTCACCTACGATTTGTGGGGGGGGAAAATTATATTTGCCATCTATATTTCATGCACTTATTTTCACTGAATTTATGAAATAGCATTTATTTGTATGTATTATTTAATGTATTTAATTTTGTGCTAGTATCAGGGCTTGAATTTGGCTCCATGCTCTTAGCTTACTCATAAGTGGTACTCTGCATGTCTACCTCTAGTCCCTCATTTCGCTAGTTATTTGGAGATGGAGTCTCAAAGACTTTTCTGCCCAGGCTGGCTTCAAACCTTGATACTCTAAGTCCCTGCCTCCTGAATAGCTAGTATTACAAGCATGAGCCACTGGTACTAGCTTCATCTTTACATTTCATAACTGATTTTGTTAGAACCAATGAGTTTAATTATTTTAAAATTGAGGTATTGAAGAAATGAGTTTTTTTGTTGTGATTGTTTTTGGGGATGTTTTGTTTTGCCAGTCCTGAGGCTTGAACTCAGGGCCTGGGCACTGTCTCTGAGCTTCTTTTGCTCAAGGCTAGCACTCTACCACTTGAGCCACAGTGCCCTTTCCATCTTTTTCTGTGTATGTGGTACTGAGGAATCGAACCCAGGACTTCATGTATGCTAGACAAGCACTCTATCACTAAGCCACATTTCCAGGCCAGAAATGATTTTTTTTAAGTATGTTACAAAGAAAGTCATATTTTAACCTTTTGAATATATTACCTTCCTTTGCATGTATGATTCATGCAGCTGAATACCAAAGGATCAGAAACATCACCAATAGTAACAGAAGAAGATGATGATGATGAAGAGGCTGCTCCTCCTGTCATTGCCCCAAGGCCAGATCATACAAAATCAGTAAGTGATTAGTGATTAGATTAGATAGTGCTGTGTATCTCTGTGTGTATGTATGTGTTTTAAAATAGCTTTCATCATTTGACTTCCAATAAGAATTTTTTTAAACCCTCTAGTTTATTTTTATTTTTATTTTATTTTTGTCGGTCATGGGCCTTGAACTCTAGTCCTGGGCGCTGTCCCTCAGCTCTTCAGCTCAAGGCTAGCACTCTACCACTTGAGCTACAGCGCCACTCTCCATTTTCTGGTGGTTTATTGGAGATAAGTTTCACAGAGTTTCCTGCCCAGGCTGGCTCTGAACCACGATCCTCAGATCTCAGCCTCTTGAGTAGCTAGGATTACAGGCATGAGCCACCAGCGCCTGGCTTACTTTATGATAGTGTGGGGAAATAAAAGATTTTTCCTTAACTACTAATCAAAATACAGTTTTGTTTTTGTTTTTGCCAGTCCTGGGGCTTGAACTCAGGGCCTGGGCACTGTCCCTGAGCCTCTCTGTGCTCAAAGCTAGTATTCTAGCACTTGAGCCACAGTGCCACTTCCGCCTTTTTCAGTTTATATGGTACTGAGGAATCAAACCTAGGGCTTCATGCATCTTAGGCAAGCACTCTACCACTAAGCCACATTCCCATCCCTCAGAATGTAGTTTTTCAGCCAGGTGTGAATGTTGTGTAATCGTAGCTACCCAGGAGGCTGAGATCTGAGGATCACAGTTCAAAGCCAGCCCAGGCTGGAAAGTCCAGGAGATTTTTTTATCTCTAATTAATCACCAAAAAGGCTGAATTGGAGTTGTGGCTCAATTTAGAGCACTAGCCTTGAGCACAAAAGCTCAAGACAGTGCCCAGGCTCTGAATTCAAACCTCAGGATTGGCACCAAAAATTTTTTTTTGGTCAGTTTTGTGGGGCTTGATCTCCCTGCTTAAGTGTTATCTCTGAGCTTTTTCACTCAAGGCTAGTGTTCTACCACTTTAAGCCACAATGCCACTTCTGGTTTTCTGGTGGTTAATTAGAGATAAGATTCTCAAGGTAGCTAAGAGTCTCAAGGAAGGTGGATTCTGGTGACTCATGCCTGTAATCCTAGTTAATCAGGAGGCTGAGATCTGAGAAGCACAGTTCAAAGCCAGCTCAAGCAGGAAAGTCTGTGAGACTCTTATCTCCAATAAACCACTAGAAAACCCGAAGTTGCACTGTGGCTCAAGTGGTAGAGTGTTCATCTTGAGCTGAAGAGCACAGGGACAGTGCCCGAGCCCAAAGTTCAAGTCCCACAACCAACCAAAAAAAAAGTCTCAAGGACTTTCCTGCTTGGGCTGGCTTTTATCTGCAGTCCTCAGATCTCAGCTTCCTAAGTAGCTAGGATTACAGCCTTGAGCCACTAGTGCATGGTCAAAAAGCAGTTTTTGAGAGTTGAAATCTGTTAATTCCTTTGAAAGTAAAAATACTTAATAACTGAATTTCTGTTTCTCCCCTTTTTTCCAGAGAATTTATCTACTTCTTTAGTTTTGTTAATGTAGGTTATTATTCTATCTAAAACAGATATTCCTCTTCCCCAAATTATGTTTATTTTATCTCCCATTTTATATTTCTCTCAAAGCCTTGATGACATTCAAGATGCAGTTGAAAATGAAATACCTTACCAGATAAAGGAGAATTTTAGCAATAGTGCAGTGGACTGTGATAGGGCAGTGGTACAGCTGGTAGGCCCAGCACTAACACTGACTATGGAATCTATAATCTAGTGAGAGAGTGCCATGCTTTATTCTTTAGAAATGGCAGTTTAAAATGAAATGGTAGACTTCGAGTTTGTGCACAACTTTGAGGGAATTATTGATTGTTTTTTAAACACGAATGTTTCTAATATGCATTTTTTGTATGTATGTGTGATTGTAGGACTTGAACTCAATTGGATGCTGTCCCTGAGCTTTTTTGCTTAAAGCTAATGCTCTACCACCTTAGTCAAGCCCCACTTCTAGCTTTTTTGGTGATTAATTGGAGATAAGAGTATCAAGGACTGGGAACTGGGAAGGTAGCTCAGTGGTAGAGTGCATGCCTTGCAAGCATGAGGCCCTGGGTTCGATTCCTTAGCACCACATAAACAGAAAAAGCCGGAAGTGGCACTGTAGCTCAAGTGGTAGAGCGCTAGCCTTGAGCTGAAGAGCTGAGGGACAGCGCCCAGACTCAGAGTTCAGACCCCATGACCGGCAAAAAAAAAAAAAAAAAAAAGAATATCAAGGACTGAGCTGGCTTCAAACTGAAATCCTCATATATCAGCCTCCTGAGTAGCTAGGATTACAAGAGTAAGCCATTGGCATCCAGCCCAATATAAGTTTTCTGCCAGCCCTGGGGCTTGAACTCATAGCCTAACCACTATCTTTGAGCTTTTTTGCTCAAGGCTAGCACTTTACTACTTGAGCCACAGCACCACTTCTGGCTTTTTCTGTTATGAGGTACTAAGGAATCGAACCCAGGGCTTCATGCGTGCTAAGTAAACACTCTACCACTAAACCACATTCCTAGCCCCCTAGTATGCAATTTTTTAAATCCTTTTTTAGTAAAACATTCTAAGCTGTGTTTTTTTTTTCCCCTACATTTTATGATACTGTTTTAGATCTGGTTACACTGCAATTTTTTCCCTATACATATACTTAAAAGAAAAAGTTCCACATTTATTTTCTTAGATGCATGTATTTATTTTGGTGGTAGTGGTGTTTAAACTTGGGTCCTTGAACTTGCTAAGGAAGGTCTCTACCACTTGAGTCACACCTGTAGCCTTTTTTTTTTCCGGTCCATGGGGGGACAGGGCTTGAACTCAGGGCCTGGGTGCTGTCTCTGAGCTCTTTTGCTCAAGGCCTTTGAGCCACTGGGCCACTTCCGGTGTTTGAGTGGTTAATTGGGATTTTTCTGCCTGAGCTGGCTAGGATTGATTACTGTCATGAGCCACCAGCGCCCAGCTCTGCAGCCTTTTTTGTTTTAGATTTTCAAATCAGCTTTCTGCTTTGCACTGTGATCCTCATTCCTGTACCTATCATCTCACTGAGTTAACAGGTGTTCTCCAGTTTGTTTTTTGTTTTTTTTTTTGTTTTTTCTTGGCGATACTAAGATTTGAACTCTGTCCTCCATGGTTTATACCTTTTTTTTGACTGTCCTGAGTTGAACTCAGGGCCTGGCACTGTTACTGAGCTACTTTTTTTTTATCAAAGCTACTGCTCTACCACTTTGAACCATAATGCCACTTAAGGTTTTCTGGTGGTTAATTGGAGATAAGAGTCTTATCGATTTTCCTGCCCTTGCTGGTTTAGAATTGGGATCCTCATATCTCAGCCTTTTGAGTAGTGAGGATTGCCCCCATGAGCTATCAGCACCCAGCTTCTAGCTTATTTTTTATTTGTTTGGTTTTTTTATGTTTTCTTTTTTCTTTTTCTTTTTTTTTTTTTTGGGGGGGGGGTCCAGTCGTGGGGCTTGAACTTCTGGGCCTGGGCGCTGTCCCTCAGCTCTTCAGCTCAAGGTTAGTGCTCTACCACTTGAGCCACAGCACCACTTCCAGCTTTTTTCTGCTTATGTGGTGCTGAGGTATCGAACCCAGGGCCTCATGCATGCGAGGCAAGCACTCTACCACTGAGCCAACTTCCCAACTTCTTTTTTGTTCTGGGGATTGAACCCAGGATGTTGTACTTGCTAGACAGTCACTTTGCCACTGGGCTACATCTCAGCCTCCAGCTTATTTTTTTCAGATTAGATCTTACTGCCTTTTACTTAGGGTAGTGTCTTATGACTCTTCCTTCTCCTCCTCCCATATACCTGAATTACAGGGATTTTTGTTTTATTTTGTTTGTTTTTCATTGTTGGTTGTAGGGTTTGAATTTAGGGCCTGGGTGTTCTTCCTGAGCTTTTCTTGTTGTTGTTGTTAATCATGGGGCTTGAACACTAGGCCTGCATGCTGTCCAAGCTCTTCAGCTCAAGGCTAGTGCTCTACCACTTGAGCCACAGTGCCACTTCCGACCTTTCCTTTTTGTGGTGCTGAGGAACCCAGGGCCTCATGCATGTGAGGTATGCACTCCACCACTGAGCCACCTTCCCAGCCCCTGTTCCTGAGGGTTTTTTTGCTCAAGGTTAGCACTCTGCCACTTAAGCCACAGCTCCATTTTAGGTTCTTTTGGGGGGATGGGAGGGGTGCTTAATTGAAGAGGCTCACAGATTCTTCTGCCCAAGCTGGCTTTGAATGGTGATCCTCATATCTCAGCCTCCAGAGTAGCTAGGATTACAGGAGTGAGCCACCAGTGCTAAGTTTTGTTTTTCTCCTCTTTGTTTTTGTTTTGTTTTGTTTTGTTTTAACAGAGTCTTGATATATATGCAAAACTCAGGATGCTCTTAATTTAACCTCCAGATTGCTTTGTTTACAGGTGTGTGTTATCACACTAACACTTACATGCTTTTTTATTATCTGGAAATATTATTCCTATTCTTTGGAACAATAGAAAAAAGGGATAGATGAATGAAGATGAGAAGGTGGGGAGGTGCAGTCAAGAATCCAATCTAACCAGGGGCAGTGGCTCACGCCTGTAATCCTAGCTACTCAAGAGGCCAACATCTGAGGATCATGGTTCAAAGCCAGCCCTGGTAGGAAATTCCGTGAGACTCTTATCTCCAATTAACCCACTAGAAAACCGGAAGTGGGACTGTAGCTCAAGCGGTAGAGCTGTTGCTTTGATCTGAAGAGCTGAGGGACAGCGCCCAAGCCCAGAGTTCAAGCCCCACAACAACCAAAAAACAAACAAACAAAAAAGAATCCAATCTATATTCTACAAAATTAAGAAGAGTCGAGGAAGGGCTAGGTAGGGGTGGAATAGGTGAGAGTGTTGAAAAGGGTGACATTAATTACGATACAGTGTATTCATAAACTTTTTAAATGGCAACTCCTTTGTACAACTAAAGGTAATTTTTTTTTAATCAAAGAAATGAATAGTATACCATTAAGAACACACGACTTTGTTTTCCTCTCAATTCTCAGTAATGACCTGTATCTTGCAGATTTATACACGGTCTGTAATTGACCCTATTCCTGCACCAGTTGGTGATTCTAATGTTGACAGTGGTGCCAAGTCTTCAGACAAACAAAAAAAGAAGACCAAGATGACAGATGAAGAGATTATGGAAAAATTAAGTATGTTTTCTTAGAGTTCTTAATAGCTCTTAAAACAGTGGGCCCAGAGCTGGAATTGAGGTTCAGTGGTACCACATGCAAGGCTCTGGGTTTAATCCCTAACACCACAAAAAAAGAAAAGAGCATTTGGTCCAGATGAATTTTAATTTGTGCCTATAATTTGACTTCAGGAATAAAGGAAAAATTTTCTCCTTAGAGGAGCAATAATGCATTAGTTTTATTAGTACATATGAAAAGTATTTAACTGGTGAAATTAGTCCCTTTCAGATCAATAGTTTTTCACTACAAACCATATTTAAAGGACATAGTTGGAAACCTTATCAGATGTGGTTTTGTATATATTTATGAATATTTATAGCTTCTTCACATGAATCTACAAAAAGTCACTAACAAAATTATCATTCTATAGATAGGTGTTTGTGTGGTCATAAAATAGGTTCTGGGGGGGGGGGGAAATTTCTCTTTTTTAATTCAACAATAATCATTGGCCTGTATCAAGCATTATAAATCTAGTGAAAGTAGATCTTGTTTCTGATTGTTTTTGATTTTATTATGTACTTCGATGCTTATTATGTACTTCAAATCCAGTATTTTAAAGTCAGTACTTTATTAAAAGTAATTATTAATCAAATTAATTTGCTTTAAAAAGGCTTGATCTTCCAATTTTTGTTTTTGTTAAAACAGGAACTATAGTAAGCATAGGAGACCCTAAGAAAAAGTATACAAGATATGAAAAAATTGGACAAGGGTAAGTTTTTGTGACTTTAGTCCATAATATTCAGTACTCCCTGGGTATCCCACATGGTGTATCTTTGCCCCTTATATGAGCTCTAAATATAAATGTAATCTGACTGGGACTCTTTGGAATTGTGGAGGGTTTTTGCCAGACCTGGGGCTTGAACTCAGGGCCTGGTCTCTGTCCGTGAGCCTCTCTGTGTTCAAGGCTAGTACTCTGCCATTTTAGCTACGGTGCTGCCACTTCCCTGTTTTTTCTAAGTGGTTTATTGGAGATAAGAGTCTCAAGGAATTTTCTGTGCAGACTGGCTTTTTGAACCATCATCTTCAGGTCTCCTGAGTAGCTAGGATTACAGGCATGAGTCACCAGTGTCTGGCCTTAATGTTAAATTTTACAAAATTATAAAGAATTGCATAAAATGAAACAATATGAAATTTAAAAACTAGGCCAAACTGGTGGCTCACATCTGTAATCCTAGCTACTCAGGAGGCTGAGATTTGAGAATCATGGTTTGAAGCCAACTTGGCAGGAAAATCTGTGAGACTCTTTTTTTTTTTTTTTGTCGGTCGTGGGGCTTGAACTCTGGGCCTGGGCGCTGTCCTTCAGCTCTTCAGCTCAAGGCGAGCGCTCTACCACTTGAGCTACAGCGCCACTTCCGGTTTTCTGGTGGTTTATTGGAGATAGGAGTCTCACGGTCTTTCTTGCCCGGGCTGGCTTTGAACCTCGATCCTCAGATCTCAGCCTCCTGAGTAGCTAGGATTACAGGCGTGAGCCACCAGCGCCCGGCATCTGTGAGACTCTTATCTCCAATTAATCACCAGAAAATTGGAAGTGGCACTGTGGCTTAAAGTGGTAGAGTGCTCACCTTGAGCAAACAGAAACTCAGAGATAGTGCCCAGAATATGAGTTCAAGCCCCACGATCTAGAAGAAGAAGAAGAAGAAAATAGGCCAAATATATTGTTTATAGAGATACGAACCCATGTCTTTTGTAGTTGAAAGCATATACTTGATATGCAAATACATATCAAGTATAGATCAACTTTGGAAAATGGGAGGGTCACATCAGAAAGGGCATAGAGTTTATTTACAGTTCTTTGTTTATGAAATGAAGATGTTTTCATGTGTGGATATTTAAAATATTTTTAATCCCTATGTCTTTGGGGTTTTTGTCGGTCATAAGGCTTGAACTCTGGGCCTGGGTGCTATCTCTCAGCTCTTCAGCTCAAGGCAAGCTCTCTGCCACTTGAGCCACAGCGCTACTTCTGGTTTTCTGGTGGTTTATTGGAGATAACTAGTTTCACAGCCTTTCCTGCCTGTACTGGCTTTGAACCTCTGTTCTGAGATCTCAGCCTCCTGAGTAGCTAGGATTATAGGCGTGAGACACGGGCTCCTGGCTCTCTGTTAAGCATTCATAGATCTGAAATATTTCAAACACAATGATTGCTTTTTTCTTTTCCCCCCTTTTTGCTTTTGCTTTACTTGTAAAAAGTCTAAAGTGTTCTTCAGTGTCTTTTCCATTGTGCAAAGTGTAAAATTTGGATATTATAAATGGTAATGTTTTAGAAACCTTAAATCTTGTCTTTTTGCTCTGTAGGGCTTCTGGCACAGTTTTCACTGCAACTGATGTAGCACTAGGACAGGAGGTAATGGTCTTTTCATACTTTGGATGTTATCATTAGCATTACATGTAGAAAGAAATTATATAAAACTTACAATATGAATTATATAGATTATTACAACTCTTTCTTTCTTTCATTCCTTCTTTCCTTCTTGCTTTCTTTTGCCAGTCCTAGGACTTGAACTCAAGGTTTGGGCACTGTCCTTGAGCTTGTTTTGCTTAAGGCTAGCATTCTACCACTTGAACCACAGTGTGCCATTTCCAACTTTTTCCCGTTTATGTGGTACTGATTAATTGAACCCAGGTTTTTATGCAGGCTAGGCAAGCACTCTATCACTAAGCCACATTTGTTTTGTTTTTTTAAACAACCACATATGTGAACAAATATAAATCTCTTTCAGTTGAATATATTGTAAGAATTGATCTATGCAATTTTACAGTAATTCTTATGTTTAGGTAACTAAGAAGTAAGTTCATGGGCTGGGAAGGTGGCTCATTGGTAGAGCGCTTGCCTTGCATGCCTGAGGCACCACATAAGCAAAAAGAAAAAAGCTGGAAGTAGTGCTGTGGCTCAAGTGGTAGAGCACCAGCCTTCAGCTGAAGAGCCGAGGGACAGTGGCCAGGCCCAGAGTTCAGGCCCCACGATGGGACCCCCCCCCCCCCCCAAAAAAAAAAAAGAAGTAAGTTCATTGTCATAAATAAGAAAATACTTAAAATCTATTTTTCCAACCTGAAATGAAAAAAAGATTAATTCCTGGTCTATGCTAACTTTGAGTTGGTCAATCAACTTTAAGATAAATCTAAACATATCTAGGTTCTATCTGTTGTAAAGCACTGTGCATAGGTCATGTACAAGACAAGTACCATTTGTGAATAAGTTACAGTCTCATTCTGTAATAAAATAATATGTACATTAAATTACTCAGTGGTGGTTTTAATTTCAACTTTTTCTAAAGGTATTAGGAAAACTGATGTTTTTCCATTCTGTTTGTTTCCATTCTAGGTTGCTATCAAACAGATTAATTTACAGAAACAGCCAAAGAAGGAATTGATTATTAATGAGATTCTGGTGATGAAAGAATTAAAGAATCCCAACATAGTTAATTTCTTGGACAGGTAAATTTGAATTTTTTTTTGGGGGGGGGGGGCGGGGTCCGGTCGTGGGGCCTGAACTCTGGGCCTGGGCGCTGTCCCTCAGCTCTTCAGCTCAAGGCTAATGCTCTACCACTTGAGCCACAGTGCTACTTCCGGCTTTTTTCTTTTTGCTTATGTGGTGCTGAGGAATCAAACCCAGGGCCTCATGCATGCAAGGCAAGTGCTCTACCACTGAGCCACCTTCCCAGCCCTTGAATATTTTTAAACGTTGGGATAATATCATAGTTTTGTAAAGGATAGCCACTTTAGTTGGAATAAAACATCAGGGCTGAAAAGTATCCTCAAAGGAGGAAGAGAACAAGAGGTAAAAATATACTATATTATAGTTTAGAAAGTACTCATACAAGAAGATCACTTGGCAAAGGAGAGAAAGCAGTTAAATGAAAGATTGCTCATAATGCATTGTGCAAATAAAACAATACTAGGAAATATTGTGATTCATGTCTTGTCCACAATTATACAGTTTTTAAATTGCTGTTAGTTTTTATTTTATGTAGTGCAGGCAAGGTTTGAAATTGCTATCCTCCTGCCTAAGTCTCCTGAGTAGCTGGGATTACTAGTGTGCCACCACACCTAGCCAGTTTTCACTTAAATGCTGTTTGCTGTGAGCAAATTGCACGTGTTTATTAAAAGTTCATTTAGCTTAGGAATCAGTAATAAACAACAAAGAAAAAATAGAAAATTATACTGTTGCAGATGTGTAGTTTTTTAAATAATGACATAAAGGCTAGTATAAAATAATAATAGTGGTTGTATTGGAGCTAGTGAATTATAGGTGATTTCTTACATGTATTTAGAATGGAGAGAAGGTAATATATTTTGAGATCTTAGTTCTCATTATGGGGACTTTGTTCATAGAAATAAACATTTCAGGTATGTTTCCCTGCTTTAAAATAGCATTTTTAAGTCAGTCTGGCTGGTGAGTCAGATAAACCCTAGGCTTTAGAATCATGGTGTGTGCTTTCAGATTCTGGTTCTGTTTCTAGACTCCCAGGTCTTTGTGTTTGTGTCTCTTCTCTTTCCCCCCTCTCTCCCCTTGGGAATAGGGTATTGTTGTGTAGCCTAAGATAGCTTGAGCCCCCCGGTCTTCAGAGGTAAGTCCTTTCATTGGAAAACAGGATTAATGATTTCTACATCATACATTCATTCTAATTTGAATATTCTGTGTATTTGAATACTCATTTGAATACTCTCACACAAGTGATGATTGTGGAAAAATTATAACTTTAAAGTGATTCAGGAGGATAGATCATAATCTCTTCAAGTTTTGAGTTTTGTACTATAACATAGTAGCTTTCCGGTTTTCTTCCCAGTTCTTAGCTGTCTTAGCTCTCTAGTTTTATTATGATACATAACATTTGAGTCCCTCAACATAGAATGTATAAAATAAAAAAATGTATAAATGTATAAAGTGTGAAAAATAAAAATGTAAATGTGTTTGTATATTCCACTTTTAGTTACCTGGTGGGAGATGAGTTGTTTGTAGTAATGGAGTACCTTGCTGGTGGGTCGCTTACTGATGTTGTAACAGAAACCTGCATGGATGAAGCACAAATTGCTGCTGTATGCAGAGAGGTGGGTTTACTTCCTTTTGGGTAAGATAAGGTGATATATGGTTAGGAAAGAGTGAAAAAAAAGGAAAGTTTTCCTGCCCAGTAAATTTTATTGTGTTTGGGATAGTTTCTCTACATATTCTCCGCCTTGCACCCTTTCATCTAACATGTGTTATTTGGGAATGAAGCCTAAACTCCCCCTCCCCTTTGTTTTTTTTTTTGTTTGTTTGTTTGGTTGGTTGGTTGGTTGTGGGGCTTGAACTCTGGGCCTGGGCACTGTACCTCAGCTCTTCAGCTCAAGGCGAGCGCTCTACCACTTGAGCCACAGCACCACTTCCGGCTTTTTCTGCTTATGTGGTGCCAAGGAATCGAATCTAGGGCCTCAGGCATGCAAGGCAAGCACTCTACCACTGAGCCACCTTCCCAGCCCCTGAAGCATAGACCTTTGAAGAGCATTCATTAGCAAATTTTAGTAGAGTGATCATTACAGTTTACCCTTTAAAAAGGACACTTCAGAGTAAAACCAGATACCATTAAAATTATCATTCATGATGGAAACTAGGACCATCTCATTATAAAAAACCCTAGTCCTGGGGCTGGGAAGGTGGCTCAGTGGTAGAGCGCTTGCCTTGCATGCCTGAGGCCCTGGGTTCGATTCCCAGCACCACATAAGCAAAAAGAAAAAAGCCGGAAGTGGCACTGTGGCTCAAGTGGTAGAGCGCTAGCCTTGAGCTGAAGAGCTGAGGGACAGTGCCCAGGCCCAGAGTTCAGGCCCCATGACCGGACCCAAAAAAAAAAAAAAAAACCCTGGTCCTGGAGCTGGGAAGGTGGCTCAGCGGTAGAACGCTTGCCTTGCATGCTTGAGGCCCTGGGTTCTATTCCTCAGCATCACATAAGCAAAAAGAAAAAAGCCAGAAGTGGCTCTGTGGCTCGAGTAGTAGAGCACTAGCCTTGAGCTGAAGAGCTGAGGGACAGTGCCCAGGCCCAGAGTTCAGGCCCCACGACTGGACCCAAAAACAAAACAAAACAAAAAAAAAAACTCTGGTCCTAACTTTATTGAACTCTCTGAGGATGAAATAACTGCTGTTTTTTTTTAAAGTTTATAATTATTTTTTAACTTCTATTTGCTTAAGTAAATAAGTTCTGCCAAACTACTTAAGTCTGAACCAAAACAAGTCTTCCTTCTATGTATGTTTTCTAAAAGGAACTTAAGCTAGTGGCTATTTATTATCACTGAAATTGAAGCTAATGATTATTTATCATCATTGAAACTGACCCTTTATTTTGTCAAAGAAAGGATAAGATTGTATAAGTTCTTATGATTATATTGTATTTTCTATAAGTTTGGCTTTCAGCAATTCTGCAGTAGCACAAGATGAATTACAAACCTTTATTAAGGTGTTAAAAATAATGTTCTTTAAAATTTTAATTCTGATTTGTGTTCTGCTCCTTTGATTGTAGGAAGAAAATAACCTTTTTCATAGTTCTTTAATCATGTCCCTTAACAAAATGTTTGATCACTTAAAACTGATCAAATTTAATGGGAATTTATCTTGTTCTCATAGTTGATACAAAATTAATTTTGTAACCAAAGTTATAACAAAAACTATATTCAGAATACATTTATTCATTAACAAAATCCTTTGCTTATTAAATTCTGAGATTTAATATTAAAGTCTGAGGTAGCAGCAACATATAGAAGCCTTGCCAAAGTTTGTATTTTCATAATTCCACCTGTCAAGATGTAATATGTGGCCGGGCGCTGGTGGCTCATGCCTGTAATCCTAGCTACTCAGGAGGCTGAGATCTGAGGATCACGGTTCAAAGCCAGCCCAGGCAGGAGAGGCCGTGAGACTCCTATCTCCAATAAACCACCAGAAAACCGGAAGTGGCGCTGTAGCTCAAGTGGTAGAGCACTCGCCTTGAGCTGAAGAGCTGAGGGACAGCGCCCAGGCCCAGAGTTCAAGCCCCACGACCAACCAAAAAACAAAACAAAACAAAAAAAGATGTAATATGTGATTTGGTAGTTAAATAGCACTAATTCAGTAAATAATGAGTAGTAGGAAGGGGAAAAATTAGTGACAGGGTCTTGGATTATTGCTCGGTGACAGAGCATTTGCTTATCATCCTTGCATGCATGAAGTCCCGGTTCAATCCCAAACATGGGGGAAAGACCATTAGTGACAAATGAGTTGCATGCATAGCCTACCTCCTAGTCCTACCTACTCAGGAGGCTAAGGCAGGCGATTTGCTTAAGTCCAGGAGTTGAAGACCAGCCTAAACAATGTAACAAGACCCTGTCTTTAAAAAAAAATAGTGACATTATAAAACATTATTTAATAATGTCTGGATAAAATCAGAGTAGAGGGGCTGGGAAGGTGGCTCAGTGGTAGAGTGCTTGCCCTACATGCATGAGGCCCTGGGTTCAATTCCTCAGTGCCACATAAGCAGAAAAGGCTAGAAGTGGTGCTGTGGCTCAAGTAGTAGTGCACTAGCCTTGAGCTGAAGAGCTGAGAGACAGCGCCCAGGCCAAGTTCAGGCCCCACAACTGACAAAAATAAATAAAATCAGAGGCGAGGATCTTACTAATTTTGACATTCTTTTAATTTTTCATGTGAGAGGATGTTTTTTCTTAAGTATTAAGAGAGTCTTCTGCTAGATACAAATAAGGCAATGCTTAGGTCATAAAATAGCATATATGAACCTTTCTTAGACTTTAGTAACTGATTATTTTCTTCTGTTCAGTGTTTACAGGCACTGGAATTTTTACATGCTAATCAAGTGATCCACAGAGACATCAAAAGTGACAATGTGCTTTTGGGGATGGAAGGCTCGGTTAAACTTAGTGAGTAACAAATGAAGAAATAACATTTATTTGATATTTGTTTACTATAATGTCTTTCCTTTATCTAGCTAAAATAATTCTTACATTAATATTTTATGATTTAATACATGAAGGGAAAGGGAGCCTTCTGATAAATACTATGAACTAGACAGCCCAAATTTAAATAGCACACCTGCTGCTATTTGTTGAATATTTTTGAGCAAGTTATTTAATTTCTTTTTGTCTGCTTACACATATGTTCAACAGAAAAAGTAATATTGTGTATCTCAGAGAAGTTTTTTCGGTTAAAAAAATGTAAAATATTGTCAGGTACCTGTGGCTTAGACCTGTAATCCTAGCTACTCAGAAAGCTGAGATCTGGAGGATCAAGGTTCAAGACCAGTCTGAGCAGAAAAGTCCAAAAAAAATAACCAGCAAAAAGCCAGATGTTGGAGACCTGGCTCAAGTATAGTAGAACATCACCCAAGCAAGCTGAGCAAATGTGAGACCTTGAGTTTGAACACTACTGCCAAAGGAAGAAAAAGTGTGTGTATATATATGCACTTTGGAATGTCACATGTTAACAATATTTTGTAGCCATAAACTTTTTGTTTCTGACATCTCTTGGAATAGTTTTTTTCATACTCTTCAACTATCTGTAAATTTTATAGAAGTAGTTTGTGTAATCTTGATCTCAGGGATGATAGGTGGTGGGAGTCGGGGGAGGGAGTGCGGAAATCTCACTTTTCTAGAAATCTGTATCATACACAGTAAAAGTCACGAAGAAACATGTACATTTTTTTTCTTTGCTTTCATAATCCCTCATTTCCAAATCTCCCCGCCCCCCGCCCCCTCTGGAGGATTCAAGAACTGTTGCTGAGAGAGGATGTTCAATCAAAAGATCAACCCTTTCTACCAACCTGGTCTGCTAGAGGGCTTGTCTTCTATCTCAACATCTTTTCTCCCAAGCTCCCTCTATAGGTTATTTGATCAGGTGGTCAATAATTGTTCATCTTCAATAATCATATTGGACAAGTAGGAAAAAGACTTTGTTTATAGTGCTGGTACTAGAGCCTGAACCCAGATCCTGGGTACTGTTCCTTTTTGTCTCAAAGATGGCACTCTACCACTTGAGCCACAGTTCCACCTCTAGCTTTTTGGTGGTCATTTGGATATAAGAGTTACACAGACTTTTCTAACCCAGCCTGGCTTGGAAACTCAATCCTCAGATCTCAGCCTCCTGAATAGCTAGGATTACAAGCATGAGCCACTGGTCCTGGCTACATTTTTGCTATATAAACATGAAAACTAAATTATTAGACTTTTTTTGGATAACATTTTGTATGACTCTTTCACTTACTAGATGAATGATCTTAAATAACTTTTCTAAAAACATGTAAGTTTCTCCATCTACAAAATGAGCATAATTTATAGTAAACATACCTAAGTCTGGAAGCTAGAAGTAGGAAGTCGTGCCTAACAGTGTAGTTCTTGATTTCCTGGCACCATAGTAAAATATAAAAAGATACCTATCTCATTGGGTTCCTATAAGGACTGAATATTTTAATTCTTATAAGGTACTTATGATTGTACCTAGATTATTATAGTACTACATATAAAATATTGTTTTCCCAAATTATTACTTTTTTTTTTTTTTTGTCAGTTCAGGGGCCTGAACTCTGGGGTCTGGGTGCTGTCCCTCAGCTCTTCAGCTCAAGGCTAGCACCTCTACCACTTGAGCCACAGTGCCACTTCTGGCTTTTTTTGCTTATGTGGTGCTGAGGAATAGAACCCAGACCTCATGCATGTAAGGGTACCACTGAGCCACCTTCCCAGCCAGCCCCCAAATTACTACTTTTATATTCTCCCTGTAGAAATACAGAATTTCAGTAAGTAAATTCCTGTAGTTTTGTAAGAAAAAACTGCAACTACCTTAAATAATGAGCAATAACAAGAAGTAATAGGAGAGACATTGGAACTCAATAGGCATAGGCGGAAACATTTTGAAAAGAGTTCCAGGGCACAGCAGATAGGAGAAAGACTTGACAAATGGGATTATAAAAAAAAAAGTTTCTGCACAGCAAAGAACATAGTTACTAAACTAGAAAGACAGCCAACAGACTGGGAGAAGATCTTTACCAACAATACATCCAACCAAAGTTTAATATAAAAATATACTTGGAGCTCAAGAAATCAACCCCAGCCGGGCGCTGGTGGCTCACACCTGTAATCCTAGCTACTCAGGAGGCTGAGATCTGAGGATCGAGGTTCAAAGCCAGCCTGGGCAGGAGACACCGTGAGACTCCTATCTCCAGTAAACCACCAGAAAAACGGAATTGGCGCCGTAGCTCAAGTGGTAGAGCGCTCGCCTTGAGCTGAAGAGTTGAGGGACAGCGCCCAGGCCCAGAGTTCAAGCCCCACAGCCGACCAAAAAAAAAAAAATCAACCCCACCCAAAGCTAACAATCCAGTTACTAAATGGGCAAAGGAGCTAAAGAAAGAATTCTTAGGTGAAGAAGTGCTCATCATTCCTGGCTATAAAGGAAATGCAAATCAAAACAACTTTAAGATGCCATCTCTTCCCAGTTAGACTGGCCAACATTGTGAATTCAAACAACAAATGTTGGTGGAGCTGTGGGGAAAAAGGAACCCTATTGCACTGTTGTTGGGAATGTGAACTAGTATAACCACTCTGAACAGCAGTCTCGAGATTCCTCAAAAACTAACCATACATCTTCTCTGTGATCCAGCCATGCCACTGCTGGACATCTACCCAGAACATTACAAGCCAGGATATTGTAAAAGCACTTGAACATCTATGTTCATTGCTGTACTATTCACAGTAGCCAAACTAAGCAAACAGCTCAGATGCCCTACAATAGATGAATGGATTTTAAAAAATGTAGTACCTTTATACAATATAATTTTACACAGCCATTAGAAAGAATAATGTCATTTGCAGGGAAATAGATGGATTTAGAACAAATCACATTAAGTGAGGTCAGCTAAGCTCAGAGACAAACAGGACATGTTTTCTCTTGTATGTGGAAGCTAGACTTAAAATACATGGAGACATGATAAATTATATAGCACTCTAGGCATTCATACACAGTTGGACTAAAAGAGGACACTCTTAAGAGAGAAATAAAAAGGCACAATGCATATATGAATCTGATCACATAAAATAATATTTATTGAAATGAACTCCAGGTTAAAAAATGAGGGCTGAGAGTTTAGCTCAGCGGTAGAACACTTTCCTGGTATGCCTAAGGCCCTGGGTTCAATCCCCAGCACTACAAAGGAAAAACAAAGAAAAAAATCAACTTCTGTTTGCCAATCTCCAGTGGCTCATGCCTGTAATCCTAGCCACATAGGACTGATATCTGAGCATCATGGTTCAAACCCAGCTCAGGCAGAAAAGTCCATGAGACTCTTGTTTCCAATTTACCATCTTAAAACCAGGCAATGTGGCTGAAGTGGTAAAGTGCTAAGGTGAAAAAACTCGAGGACCTTGCCCAGGCCCTGAGTTCAAGTCCCATGACTAACAAAGAAAAAAGAGATGAACAGTAAGGGAATGGTAATTTTATTTATTTTTGTTGCCAGTTCTGGGGTTTGAACTCAGGGCCTAGTCATTGTCCCTTAGCTTTTTTGTTCAAGGCTAGTTAATTGGAGATATGAGTCTTGAGGTCTTGCCTGCCCAGGTTGGCTTCAAATTGTGATCGCCAGATCTCAACTTCCTGGATTACAGGCATGAGCCACACTGCCTGGCTTGATTTTTATTTTCAAGTCATGGGACTTGAACTCAGGGCCTGTGTGCTATCCCTGAGTTTTTTTTATTCAAAACTAGCACTGTACTACTTTGAGCCACAATGCGACTTACGGTTTTCTGGGGGTTACTTGGAGACTTTTCTGCCTTTAACCACGATGCTCAGATCTAAGCCTCCTAAGTAGCTAGGGTTATGGTATTCAGGCTTGATATATTTGGTTTTGGTTTTGTTTTATTGGTCATGGGGCTTGAACTCTGGCCTGGGTGCTATCCCTCAGCTCTTCCTCTCAAGGCTAACACTCTACCACTTGAGCCACAATGCTACTTCCAGCTTTTTTCTGCTTATGTGGTGCAGAGGAATCGAACCCAGGGCCTCATGCGTGCAAGACAAGCACTCTACCACTGAGCCACCTTCCCAGACCCTTGATATATATATATATATATATATATATATTTTTTTTTTTTTTTTTTTTTAATGTTGGTCATGGGGCCTGAACTCTGGGCCTGAGCACTGTCCCTCAGCTCTTCAGCTCAAGGCTAGTGCTCTACCACTTGAGCTATAGCGCCACTTCCGGTTTTCTGGTGGTTTATTGGAGATAAGAGTTTCACAGCCTTTTCTGCCTGAGCTGGGTTTGAACTGGGATCCTCAGATCTCAGCCTCCTGAGTAGCTAGGATTACAGGTGTGAGCCACCAGCACCCAGCTAGGCTTGATTTTTTTTTTTTTTTTTTTTTTCTTTTTGGCGCTGTCCCTCAGCTCTTCAGCTCAAGGCCAGTGCTCTACCACTTGAGCCACAGGGCCACTTCCGGCTTTTTTTTCCTGCTTATGTAGTGCTGAGGAATCAAACCCAGGGCCTCATGCATGCAAGGCAAGTACCCTACTACTGAGCTACCTTCCCAGCCCAAGGCTTGATATTTTTATATAGTATAATACTTTGTAGTTTTGAAAATAAGATATGTGCTATATGGAAAGATCTCTAAAAATAAGACATGTGTTATATAGAAAGATCTCTAAATATAAAATGAGGGATTTTTTGTTAGTGACTTTGTGTGTGTGTGTGTGTGTGTGTGTGTGTGTGTGTTATATACAGATTCTGGGGATTTAACTCAGGGACTTGGATGTTATCTCTTAGCTTTTTCAGTCAAGCCACAGCTCCATTGCCAGCTTTTTGCTGGTTAATTGGAAATAAAAATCTCAAGACCTTTCTTGCCATGGCTGGCTTCAAGTTGAGATCCTCAGATCTCAGCCTCCATAATAGCTCAGATTACAAATGTCAGCTCGTAGTACCTGGCTTTAAATCGAGTTTTAAGAAAACAGGGAAGGTAGCTCAGTGGTATAGTGCTTGCCTTGCATGCATGAGGTCCTGGGTTCCATTCCTCAGTACCACATAAGCAGAAGAAGCCGTAAGTGGCGCTGTGGCTCAAGTGATAGAGCTCTAGCTTTGTGCTGAAGAGCTGAGGGACAGCGCCCAGGCGCAGAGGTCAGGCCCCACAACTGGCAAAAAAAAAAAAAAAAAAGCAAAGAAAACAGTATACAAAATATCTAAATTACCATGTAGATCAAATGAACTAGACAGTTCATTAGTATAATTCATATGTATGTCTAAGGGGCTGGGAAGGTGGCTCAGTGGTAGAGTGCTTGTCTCACATGCATGAGGCCCTGGGTTTGACTCCTCAGCACCACATAAGCAGAAAAAGCTGAAAGTGGTGCTGTGGCTCAAGTGGTAGAGTACTAGACTTGAGCACAGAGAGGCTTAGGGACAGTGCCCAGGCCCTGAGTTCAAGCACCAAGACTTGCAAAAAGAAAAAAGCATATTAAAAAGTGTAAAGACTACAAACCTAATAGTTAACAGTGGTTATATAAGGAGTCAAATGGGTTTAATATGCAAGGGAAGAAAACAGCCCTAACTTCTCATCCTACTTTCCCACTAGTTTAGTATCAAATGCTGAAGTAGGTATCCTATTACTTGGGTACACAGTGAGGTAGTGGAGTCAGATGTGTTCTTCTAAGCTCTCTCTTAAGTTGTATGCTTATTGATTCTAGTTTTTGTTTATTTTGTTTAAAAGCAGTCTGTTTCCTGACTTTGCCTGATTGACTTTCATTTAAATTTGGTATTCATCTTTGCTGTTCTTTCTTTCAGATTTTTAAAAAAATATTTTAGGTTTGAATTAATTATTCACAGTGAAACATCTGATAATGTATGCTGTGTTGTAGAGCAAGAAGTGAGAGTAAAGCTGAACACTGGTAGCTTATACCTGTAAACCTCACTACTCAGGAGACTGAGATATAATTGTGCTTAAAAGTTAGCCTGGACAGCAAAGTCTGTGAGCCTCTTACCTCCAGTTAGCCAACAGAAAACCGGAAGTGGCATTGTGTGTGACCAAGTGGTAGAGTGCTAGCCTTGAGCAAAAAGACCTCAGGGACCATGCCCAGGCCCAAGCCTCAAGGCTGACAAAAAAAAAAAAGAAGTGAGAGTAAATAACACCCTCAAAATATTTAAACTTATTCTGGTTTACTTTATTATTAAATTCCTTTAAAAAAATTGGATGTAATTTTGATATTTGAACTCTTAACGTTTTTAAAACCATTTCTAGAAACCATTAACTCTAAATATTTTGTTTTGTTTTGTATTATAGCTGACTTTGGTTTCTGTGCCCAGATCACCCCTGAGCAGAGCAAACGCAGTACCATGGTTGGAACACCATACTGGATGGCACCAGAGGTGGTTACACGGAAAGCTTATGGCCCCAAAGTTGACATATGGTCTTTGGGTATCATGGCAATTGAAATGGTAGAAGGAGAGCCTCCATACCTCAATGAAAATCCCTTGAGGGTAAGATCAGTTAAATCCTAACTTTACCATAAGAAAAATACTTTTCCGGGGCTGGGAAGGTGGCTCAGTGGTAGAGCGCTTGCCTTGCATGCATGAGGCCCTGGGTTCGATTCCTCAGCACCACATAAGCAAAAAGAAAAAAGCCGGAAGTGGCACTGTGGCTCAAGTGGTAGAGTGCTTGCCTTGAGCTGAAAAGCTGAGGGACAGCGCCCAGGCCCAGAGTTCAGGCCCCATGACCCGGACACCCCCCCCCCCCCCCAAAAAAAAAAAGAAAAATACTTTTCCTTAAAACATATATTTAGGGGCTAGGAAGGGTGGCTCAGTGGTAGAGTGCTTGCCTTGCATGCATGAGGCCCTGGGTTCCATTCCTCAGAACCACATAGCAAAAAAACCAGAAGTGGTACTGTATCTCAAGTGGTAGTGCTAGCCTTGAGCTGAAGAGCTGAGGGACAGGACCCAGGACCAGAATTCAGGCCTCACGACCAGAAAAAAACAAAAACAAAAACATATATTTAGTACTTGCCTGTGAAAGGTGGATAAGAATATAGAATACAAAGTTATCAAAAACCTAGTATTTCCCTTACTCTACATCTAAAAATTACATTACCTCTGAATTACAGAGCTGAACATGTTAGGTAAATAGTTTATAGATTTTGTTGTTGTAGTTGTTGGTGATTGCGGGGCTTGAAGTCTGGACCAGGATGCTGTCCCTGAACCTCTTTGTCCACAAGGCTAGCACTCTACCACTTGAGCCATAATACCACTTCTGGGTTTTTTTTAGTAGTTAATTAGAGATAAGAGAGTCTTACAGGTACTTTTCAGCCCAGGCTGGCTTTGAACATCAATCCTTAGATCTCGACCTCCTGAATAACTGAGATTACAGGCATGAGCCACCAGTGCCCAGTAGTTTATAGGTTTTTAATAGTAAGTTCTGTTGCTTTTCTTTTGCATGTGAGAGTATACTTATCCTTTCACAAAGTTGAGATGCCCTGATGCCTTTTTTCTGCATAGTTAAGTTAATTTTTCCTACACATTTAGGTATCCTGGATATAGCACTCAAGTCCTTTGTACTCTGAGGACAGTGAAGAAGAAAGTAAGGTTACATTTCTGAGAATGTATGAATGATAAAGTTAAGGCTCATATTCAAACTAAAGGGTAGATTTTCAACAAGGAAATACTCATCAGCTGAGTTTCCACCACCATCCCTGCTTTAAATTACAAGTGGCTTTACATCATTAAGGAAATACAAATCAAAACCAAGATATTCCTTTTACAGTAGAATGACTATAGTGACAGTAATAAGTTTTGGTGAAGGTATGGAGAATTTGGGATCACCTTCATGTATTGCTGGTGGGATTCTAAAATAGTACAACTTCATTGGGAGACAATTTGATACTCTAAAAGTTAGAAGTTAGTTACAGTGTAATTTAGCAGTTCCGTTCTTAGATAGGTATCTAAGTAAATTAATCACTTAATCACAATCAAAAAAAAAAAAAAAGAACCTCAGGGAAGGTAGGGAGGGAAGGGATGGTAGAGGGAAAACAATGGAGGGGGTAACTATGTTCAAGAGGAAGTGTACTCATTACCTCACTCATGTAACTGTAACCCTCTGTATAGTATCTTTACAATAAAAAAAAAACACATACATGTCACTAAGCATGGTGGCCCACACCTATAATCCCTAATACTTGAAAGGCTAAGATAGGAGGATTGCAAGTTCAAGGCTAGCCTGGGCTATATAGCATAAGTTCATTTAAAGTGGGAAGAAAAAGCATACATGTGCTTACACAAAACTTGTATATTAGTGTTCAGAACAGCAATATTATTTGAAATGGCAAAAAGTGGAAGCAGCTAATGTAATCACCAAATAAACAATGGAATATTATTTGGCAAAAAAACTTAAGAAGGTTTTATAGGTTATAATATGGAACCTTCAAGTATTATGGGAAGTTAAAGAATCCATACAATGGATAGAATTAGATTTTAGTACATTTTAATTCATTTCCTGAATGTTTTTGCCTCACTGCCAAAAGATTCCAGTTCAGGTAAGTAGAAAATACTTTCAGTAGAGTACACTTGTCCATTCAGTATATGCTTGTCCATTCAGTTTTTTAAGTTTTAGTGTTATTTTTTTTCATTCATCTAACCAGTGTTAATTTGAGCCTTGCTTTGTATCAGGCCCTATTCAAGGTGTTTCCCAAAAGAACCAAGAAAAACATTCTAGTGGGGGAAGAGAGATAATAAAATAAATAACAATAATATATATTAAGCCATGGACTCTTAAGTACTGGGACTAGCAAAAAAGATCAGGATGTTTGGTTTCAAAAGGATACTTTTGAAGGGCTTTGCTGAAGTGACATTTGAATATAGAAGATAACAGGAAAGAGCATTCTGAACAGAAGGAACAATTGATGCAAATGCTCTCAAACAGAAGTGTTCCAATATATATTCAAAGGTCCTTGAGGATTTCAGCATAGCTAGAGTGCATTGTGCAAACAGCAGGCAAATGAAGTAGATCCATAAAGAAGTCAGATACTGTATTGGCCTTGGGAAGCCTTGGAAAGGATTTTGGCTTTTACTCTAGATGACAAATATATTGGAGCGCAGTGAAATGTAAAAGAGATGTAAATTATTTCAATATTTCAAGAGGATCATTCAGAAGCTGCTGCAATAATTCACGCAAGAAATGATAGTATGCATGGATATTATTGGTGTGGTTGCTAAACAGTGGGATGGATTCTGTATATTTTTGTTTGTTTGTTGTTTTGTCATCATGGGGCTTGAATTCAGAGCCTGGTCACTGTCTCTGAGTTTTTTTTGTTCAAGACTAGTGCTCTACCACTTTGAGCTACAGCTCCGCTTCTGATTTTCTGGTAGTTAATTGGAGATTAGTCTCACAGCCTTTCCTGCCCAAGCTGGCTTTGAACCTTGATTTTCAGATCTCAGCCTTCTGAGTAGCTAGGATTGTCGGCATGGTCTACCAGTGCCTGCCTTGGATGTGTTGTGCCAGGAGACTGCATGAGAGAGAGGAGCATTAAGGAAGGCCCTAAGAGTTTAGCTTAAGCAACTAGAATGATAAATTTGACATTCACCTCAGCTAAAATGAGAAAAATGAAAGGAAGAGAGGGGCATGATAGCAGGTGAGGTATCAGCAGATATTTTTTTGTTGTTGTTGGATGTGGGGCTTGAAGTCTTTCAGCAGATAGTATTTTAACACTTTAGGCATATTAAGGTTGAGAGACCTGCCAGAACATTCAAATGGATATGTTGAATAGGCCAATGAGTATGCAAGTTAGGATCCAGGCTAGAGGTAGAAAATAAAGCTTCTTAGCTATAGCAATTATTTGGTCCCCAAATGGAATGGCCAGAAGAAAAGGTAAAACAAAATAAAAGTATAGTCTGGAAACATCATGCTACAAGTGAGGGAGAGAACATTTGTTCATTAAGATGATGAAGCCTTAGCCGGGCATCGGTGGCTCATGCCTGTAATCCTAACTATTAGGAGGCTAAGATCTGAGGAGCACAGTTCAAACCCAGCCCAGGAAAGACCATGAGACTCTTATTTCAAAAAACCAATAGAAAACCAGAAGTGGTGCTGTGGCTCAAGCGATAGAGCACGCTCCTTGAACTGAAGAGTACAGGGACAGCTCCCAAGCCCAGAGCAGAGTTCAAGCCCCAGGACTGACACACACACACACACAAAAAAGATGATGAAGCCTGAGTCTTGATGAGTATGGATGCAATAGATAGAAACTTGAAGAGTGACAACATTTGCTTTGAAGACGAAGTAACAGGGACCATTTTAACCCTCCCTACCTGAAGCAACCTGAAAAACTATAGAGTATAAGAAAAAAAAGATTGGGGCTGGGAAGGTAGCTCAGTGGTAGAGCACTTGCCTTGCATGCTCAAGGCCCTGGGTTCGATTCCTCAGCACCACATAAGAAAAAAGCCGGAAGTGGCACTGTGGCGCAAATGGTAGAGTGCTAGCCTTGAGCTGAAGTGCTGAGGGACAGCGCCCAGGCCCACAGTTCAGGCTCCACGACCAGACCCCAAAAAAAAAGAAAAGAAAAAAAAGATTTTCAAGAAGTGAAAGAAATGTATGTGAAGGGAATCATGGACACTGGAAAGATCAGTTAGGATTTAGGTGCCAGTAAAGTCATAAGGATTCTAGGAATGTAGAAGGTAGACTACAACCAAGATTTGAGCTTGTAATTTCTGCCACTACTACTGATATGGATGGTAGAGGGTGTGGCCAGAAGTGAACGTATCTGAGGAACTATATAGTACAAAGGCATCAGGCAACAGTTCAAGTTGTAGCATGCATTCATGTAGCTATTGAAAATGCTGAAAATTATGATGAGAATAACATTAGAGGTATAGTACAAAAAGGTATAATCTTGAAACAGTGAGGGTAGGAGTCTGGGATTTAGTAGGTCTTTAAACAAGGGAAGATAGATAAGCCATCATAAGCCTGGGTTTCAGAGAAATATGATAAAGATCTCAGAGAGAAATGAGGAGCCAGAAGGCACTTATTCACCTTTAGGCCCAGTCATGGGAAAAAAAGACAAAAACAAAAGCAAAAAAAAAACCTGTTACCAGAGAGCACTACCTGTGAAAGCATGGAGACATTGGAGAGCAACATGGGCATTGGGAGTAGAGAAACTAGGAGATAAAAAGTGTCCAGGCTGCTCATGATTATTAATATAAATGAAAAAAGTAAATGCACTCATGTCCTTAGAAAAGAGGCATGTGTAAGATCAGATCACTAATGATGGATTAATTATAAGTTCAAGGAATTGTAGGTTGAAGGCTAGCATGAGCTACTACTGAAACTATCTCGTGGACTGGCTAAAATGGTAGAGCACTTGCCTGGCAAATGTGAAGCCTTGAGTCCAAACCCCAGAACCACAGAAAGGGGAGATAAGTTGGAATACAGTGAAAAGAAAAGTTGAAATAAATTCAACTGTTTTGAAATTTGATAGTATGGCTTAAAGCTAGAGAATCTTTAACAAAACTATATACTGTACTATATATTGATAGTGGGATTATGTTGTCTTTTTTTCTTTATACTTCTGTGTATAAGAGGTGAAGGATTTTTATGAAAATGTATTGTGTTTATAACTCAAAGTGAAGTAGCAAAATGTCCTAGGTTCCATCCCCAGCATCACACACAAAAACATACACTCTAGAGAGAAGAGAGCTACAGGAAGAGAAGATTAGTTTACAATGATTGTCTTTAAAAAATTATGCTCTACCATAATTTGATCAGGTATATGTGGAGCTGCCTTAAATATGTAAAAATGTTCTCATTTTAGGCCTTGTACCTGATAGCAACTAATGGAACCCCAGAACTTCAAAATCCAGAGAAACTTTCCCCAATATTTCGAGATTTTTTAAATCGATGTTTGGAAATGGATGTGGAGAAAAGAGGTTCAGCCAAAGAATTGTTACAGGTAAATTTGGAAAAGATGACTCTTTAGAAAAATTCACTTTCTGAGTGTCAATAGTAAGTTTTCATTGTGCTAATAATATTTCACTATTTACTGATCACCAGCATGAAAGGTAGCAGCTGGTTATATATATAGTTTTATCTGCTAAGAATAAAATTCTCAAACGATGTTATAGTAGTAAGTTCCTCATATTACCAATTCTCATACTTGTATGATGCTGGTGTAAGTATATTTATAGAGCACTTAACTATATTTTATTAATTAGAAAAATTGTTTTCAACTATAAAAAGTGATATAGGGGAGCTGGGAAGGTGGCTCAGTGGTAGAGTGCTTGCCTTGCATGCATGAGGCCCTGGGTTGGATTCCTCAGCACCACATAAGCAGAAAAAGCTGGAAGTGGAGCTGTGGTTCAAGTGTAGAGCACTAGCCTTGAGTTGAAAAGCTGAGGGACAGCGCACAGGCCCAGAGTTCAGGCCCCACGAATGACCAAAAAAAACAGATATAGGGATTATAAGAGGTTTTGGAAGAAATTAAATGTTTAGTTTATTAAATAATGATCTATAAGTAATTTTTAAAGCTCAGTTGAAAAAACTGTTTTGTTTCTTAACTGACATATACATTTCTCTCTGCCCCTCTCCCCCACAGCATCCCTTCCTGAAACTGGCCAAACCATTATCCAGCTTGACACCGCTAATCATGGCAGCTAAAGAAGCAATGAAGAGCAACCGTTAACATCATTACTGTGGCCTCTTATTTTTTTTTCCATTTTCTAAAAGAAGTGTTTTAATATATGAAAACTACTACTTTTTTGGGGGGGGGTTAAGGAGATCACCTGTATAACATGGAGGAAAGAAAAAACAAAACTACTATTCCCTGAAGACAACCAAGAGAAAAATACAATAAGATATTTATAACTTTCAAATGAGAACCCCTTTTTTAGGGTCCAAAAGGAATTGTGGACTGAATCACTAGCCTTACATCTTTCAGCAGGCAGCCTTTTAAGGCCATTTCTTAGGTGTGAGATTTGTGTCTTACTTTGCTGACTGTTACAATAGATCGTGTTGATTTTCCTTTGGGGTATTTTCAGTACTTGAATGTCAGATTCGAGTATTTCACAAGTATTTGTTTCATCTAGTCTTGGCTTTCCTCTGTAGTTTCCCTTTTCTTTGACTTGCTCCTTTTGAATTGCTTTGAGAAGTTTTTCTCATGCCTAAATTCAAGGCAAGTATGATAGAAATGATGTAGCTCTTTAAATTGGCAAAGGAGCTTAATATGGTTTAACTTTTTCTAGAAGTTAGGACCAGCTGTTGTTTAATATTTCAGTTCAGAACTTGAACTGAAAAAGAGGAAGAAAAGTATGTGATTTTTACCTTTTTTTTTTAAACAAATGTGAAAGAGTCAGTTTTAGAAATTTCATGATAGTAAGTTTGACATTTGTTACATGTATAGAAAGAGGACTAATAATCTATATTTATAACTAAATCATTGAGACAGAAAAAGAATCCCACTGACTGTTTTGTCTTCCTTTCTGCCTGTTTCTTCTTCACATTTGGCTTCAGGAGCCAAAATGGTTTATTGTTCCTACTTGGGCTTTTTGATAATGGTTGTTGCCACTGCCAGCTCCTCCAGGCTTCATTTTGGAAATAAATTTCTGTATATGTTACAATTTTAGGTTCAGCCATCTTTCACAAATGCCTTCACCTACCCCATGGAACAAGTAATATAGTAACCATTGAGTTTTCAGAATTTAAAACTTAACTCTTGTCTATTTAAAAGGAAAAATATTTGGGACTTAACAAAACCTGAGTGAGAAACTTGAACTTTGGTGGATTCTAAAATAGAATCATGAATGAGAAATGTCACTATTATAGAGATGCAGCTTATGACCAATAAACTGTAAAGCTTTGTTGTGAGTTACCATGTTCTCAACCCATTACCATTATCTTACTATGATAATTTAAATAACAAAGTACTTGTTGGTGGAAGTATTTGACTTCAGTTTTTTTTTTCAAATAAGTAGAATATTCATGTAAAAACTGGAGAAAGGAAGAAAAATGAAATGTCCTTATTGATAGTTTTTTTTTTAAGAGTTAATAAAGAAAAAAAAAAAGGTCTGTGACCTGTAGCATTAATTACTAGAATGCCCTTTATGCCCTTTATTTCCTCTCCTGTGTTTCTGTGTTGCTCTGCTCTTTGCTTTTGGATGAGGTATTGTCTATTCTGACATGCCTGGAGCCACATTTTGTTCGCATCATCCACTCCCTATGAACTTCATACCCATTTGCCATCCTGCAGTAGTACAAATCATGAATAAAAATAATTTTGCTATTTTTGAATATTTTGGGGAAACTAGTAGAGTTTTATTTCCTATTATAGGCCCTATCATATCTGTTAAAATACAAGTATAAGGAGAAAGGCTTTTATTGATAACAGGAAAGTTTTGAAAAAATGAGGAAAATAATGAAACTTTGATCTAAAGCACTTAATGGCCTCTGTTTTCAATAAGATTCTTGATTTCACTTTTTTTTTTTTTTTGAACTGTTATTTGGCCTTCTACAGTTATCACTAAGTTACTTTACAGACACAAGCTGATTATTTCTGGTGGAAAGCTGCAGTGCCTCTTGAGTTCCAGATTTGAACATTGTGAACAGTTGTCTGGATGCATTATGATAGAGAAGATGCTGCCAATGAAATAGAAAACCCACTAGGTGAGAAGACTGAGCCTCATGACCACTACAGAAGGCACTTCCATCCTAAGTCAGAGACCATATTCATGGGGTATATTCCAGGACCCCTGTTTTATGCTGTGACTCAACAAAGGGCTTTTCCATTTATAGAAGCAGTTTGGGATTTATATTTACATCTTTGATGGTTATCTACATGTCCATTGCTGGCAACGGACTTTGTCATTAAAACCTGACTCCTAGGTTAAGGGAGCTGCACTGTGGTATATTCTTTACTTACTTGGGTAAACTAATCTGTATTAGAAATAGGCTTTGGTTAATCCTGAAATGTGTCTTTTTTAAACAAAATAATCTTAAAAGGAATACAGAATTGTGATTTATTAGTTAATTTTAAATTAAAGTGTTCACATCTTGTTGAAAAAGCAATTATATATGAATCAAGATTCATGTTGTGTTATAATTGTCTTTTGTATTCATTCACCCTTTTTATTATCTCCCTAGAATTGGAGTTCTCACTTAAATCTAAGTTATATTAGTCCTCTTATGTTACTAGAACAATATTACTGTAAATATTTATTTATACTGTAGAGTTTCTGGTGGTCCTAATATATTTTCTTTGTGTGCTTTTACTGCTTTTTAGAGACAAGTAAAATTGGGAAGCCACAAAAAATAGTGAACATTTTATCCTATCCAGACTATTGAACAAGTAGAGTGAGTGTGTGGTATATGACACCATGGCTGACATACTGTTGAGTGCCTGACAAAGTGTGAATTTTCTTCCCTTTAACATAAAAATATTAAGCTGCTTAAAATTTATCTAGTACAGGCTGGGAAGGTGGCTCAATGATAGAGTGCTTGCCTCACATGCATGAGGCCCTGGGTTGGATTCCACAGCTCCACATAAGCAGAAAAAAACCAGAAGTGGCGCTGTGGCTCATGTGGTAGGGCACTAACCTTGAGCTGAAGAGCTGAGGGACAGCACCCAGGCCCAGACTTCAGCCTCCATGACAAAAAAAAAAAAATCTAATAGCCACCAGTCCTATACAAACCGTTAACAAGTAATTTTGAACTGCCTATTCATATTTCTCTCTGTAGGGCTCACTTAAATACATGGTTTTATATATAGCACTTTTGCCAGAATAATTTTAGATCTGATCAGACAGTAGCTGTAGTTAGAAAAAATAAATAAATGCTTAAAGAATTTGTATCTGGGTGAGCATGGTGGTTTACACCTGTAATCCATGCTAGCCTGGATTACAGGTTTGAGGCTTACCTGGGGAAAAGTGATTTCTCTCTCTCTCTGTCTCTCTCTCTCTCTGTCTCTCTGTCTCTCTCGCTCTCAAAAAATAGATTATGTATGGTGGTACATATCTGTTATTTTAGCAATTCTGGAGGCAGAGGTAATAGAATCACCATCTCAGGCTAACACAGCAAAAGCAAGAGAGTGAAAATTAAATCAAAAAGGGTAGGGGCATGGTTCAAGTGGTAGAGCTTAGCAAGTACAAGGCCCTGATCCTAAGCCTAGTTATCCTCCCTCCCCATCTCTTTTCCCCCCTCTTTCTTTCTCTCCCCCCCCCCCACACACACACAAACACACATACACTCCCAAGAAAGAATTTGCGGGGCTGGGAAGTTGGCTCAGTGGTAGAGCGCTTGCATTGCATGCCTGAGACCCTAGGTTCGATTCCTCAGCACCACATGAGCAAAAAGAAAAAAGCTGGAAGTGGCGCTGTGGCTCAAGTGGTAGAGCGCTAGCCTTGAGCTGAAGAGCTGAGGGACAGCACTCAGGCCCAAAGTTCAGGCCCCACGACCAGACCCCCCACCCCCCCCCCCCATTGCATCAGCTTTTGAAACTCAAGTTTCTTCTTTTTTTTTCTTAAACATGCTAAGGTCTGTGTCTGGTGAATATCAAAATGGGTGCCAGTGGCTCACGCCTATAATCCTAGCTACTCAGGAGGCTGAGATCTGAGGATTGCAGTTCAAACCCAGCCCGGTGAAGAACATCCATGAGACTCTTATCTCGAATCAACCACCAGAAAACCAGAAGTGGCAGTAATGCTTAAATGGTAGAGCGCTAACCTTGAGCTGAAGAGCTCAAGGACAGCACCCAGGCCCTGAGTTCAAGACCCATGCCCAACAAAAAAATGTAAAAAATGTTTTAGATAATAGCTTAAATCCGGCTAAATACTCATTTTTAATTGTGTAAAATTATGTAGTAAATATAAAAAATAAAAAGCGAATCCCATTACTCCCCTCTCAGACAAAAGTAGATTGTCTTGTCATTACTCTTCCCACAATATTTAAACAAAATCAGTTTTCCCATAGCATGTATACATATGTGTATGAGAAAACAGGATGGGGATGTGGCTTAGTGGTATAGTGCTTGCCTAGGAGGCATATAGTCCCGGGTGTGATTCCTCAGTACCTCATAAACAAAAGGCCGGAAGTGGCTCTGTGGCTCAAGTGGTAGAGTGCTAGCCTTGAGCAAAATAAGCTCAGACAAAGGAGGAGGTAACAATGCTTGATAGGAAATGTACTCATTACCCTACTCATGTAACTGTAACCCCTCTATACAATATTTTTACAATAAAAAGTATATATGGGAAAAAAAAGCTCAGACAGTGCCCAGGCCCTGAGCTCCAGCCCTAAGACTGGCAAAAAATAAAAAAATATATACATATACACCCACTTTTTTTTTTTTTTTGGTCGGTTGTCGGGCTTGAACTCTGGGCCTGGGCGCTGTCCCTCAGCTCTTCAGCTCAAGGCTAGTGCTCTACCACTTGAGCTACAGCACCACTTCTGGTTTTCTGGTGATTTATTGGAGATAGGAGTTTAATGGACTTTCCTGGCCGGCATGGGCAGATCTCAGCCTACTGAGTAGCTAGGATTAAAGGCGTGAGCCACCCCTGCCCAGCTCCGCTTTTGTTTTTATACAGTTATAAACACATTTTAAACATTTATACACATGGGCAGGGATTCTAAGGGATGAGAATTGTGAAGCATAACTAATCACTGACCTGGCTTTGAAGGAACTAGAGTCTTTCTCATTCACTAGTTTTGTTTTTGTTGTCGGTTGTGGGACTTGAACTCTGGGCTTAGGCCCTGTCTCTCAGCTCTTCAGCTCAAGCCAAGCGCTCTACTGCTTGAGCTATAATGCCTCTTCCGGTTTTCTAGTGGTTTTTATTGAGATAAGAGTCTCACAGACTTTCCTGCCCAGGCTGGCTTTGAACCGTGATCCTGCAGATCTCAACCTCTTCAGTAGCTAAGGTCACAGACATGAGCCATCTGCATTCATGCTAGTTTTTTGTTTTTTTTGGGTGGGTCTGGTCGTGGGGCCTGAACTCTGGGCCTGGGTGCTGTCCCTCAGCTCTTCAGCTCAAGGCTAGCGCTCTACCACTTGAGCCACAGCGCCACTTCTGGCTTTTTTCTTTTTGTTTATGTGGTGCTGAGGAATCGAACCCAGGGCCTTGAGCATGCAATGCAAGCGCTCTACCACTGAGCCACCTTCCCAGCCCATCGTGCTAGTATTTTTAAGGACACCTGTTTTAAAACTTTTAATGGTGTCATAAAGGTACTGTGTTATAAAGCTCCACATTGGGAAAGGTGTAAGTAGCAAGCATGATCCTTCCCTGTTTTAAACCAGTTTCAGAATACTTAGGAATACTCCTCTATCTGTTAGCTCCAGAGATACCCTCCTGATCTGTTTTTGAACACTTGTAACAAATGCTTACATACTTGAAATAATAAAAATCTAGTCAGGATTTCTGATCAATGCACCAAAAAAATCTTTAACAGTACAATATCCATAGATTTCATTATACAAGTTTAGTTTGTGATGTTAAATAATCCTTATATTGATAACAGGCATTGTAGAGAACTCAATCAAAAAACATTATAGTTTTTTTTTAATTAGGCTAGGAGGAGAGGTGTAGTCAGTGAATGCTTACAGTATATTACACTACCTAGCTGCTTATTCCTGTTTGCATATGAGAAAGAGACAGAGACTAATTATATTGCATTGTTTCGACTTAAACTACTCAAGTGAAGCCCCTACCACCTGCCTATCTTCTTTTTCTTTAATACTCAGAGCATGGGAAAACTGCCTATATGATTATTATGAGCTACTCTGTTTCTAGGGCCTGGTTTGCATTTTACGTTTGTGTCTTTCAATTAGGGAAATCTTTTTTTTTTTTTTTTTTTTTTGGGGGGGGGGGGGTCCGGCCGTGGGGCCTGAACTCTGGGCCTGGGCACTGACCCTCAGCTCTTCAGCTCAAGGCTAGCGCTGTACCATTTGAGCCACAGTGCCACTTCTGGCTTTTTTTTTTTTTTTCAGCTTATGTGGTGCTGAGGAATCAAACCCAGGGCCTCATGCATGCAAGGCAAGCATTCTACCACTGAGCCACCTTCCCAGCCCCAGGGAAATCTTTTTATGATGATATTTAATAGGTTTTAATCTTTTTTGTTGTTGTTGGTTGAGGATTGCTCTCTGGGCCTGGGCGCTGTCCCTCAGCTCTTCGGCTCAAGGCTAGCGCTCTACCACTTGAGCCACACTGCCACTTTCAGCTTTTTCTACTTGTGTGGTGCTGAGGAATCAAACCCAGGGTCTCATGCATACAAGGCAAGCACTCTCTACCTTCCGAGCCCATAAATTTTAATCTTTGGGGGGGGGGGCGGGGGGAGTCCGGTCTTGGGTCCTGAACTCTGGGCCTGGGCACTGTCCCTCAGCTCTTCAGCTCAAGACTAGCTCTCTACCACTTGAGCACTGTCCCTCAGCTCTTCAGCTCAAGACTAGCTCTCTACCACTTGAGCCACAGCGCCACTTCTGGCTTTTTTCTTTTTGCTTATGTGGTGCTGAGGAATCGAACCCAGGGCCTCATGCATGCAAGGCAAGCGCTCTACCACTGAGCCACCTTCCCAGCCCAAATTTTTTTTTTTTTTTTTTTGTCGGTCGTGGGGCTTGAACTCTGGGCCTGGGCGCTGTCCCTCAGCTCTTCAGCTCAAGGCGAGCGCTCTACCACTTGAGCTACAGCGCCACTTCCGGTTTTCTGGTGGTTTATTGGAGATAGGAGTCTCATGGTCTCTCCTGCCCGGGCTGGCTTTGAACCGCGATCCTCAGATCTCAGCCTCCTGAGTAGCTAGGATTACAGGCGTGAGCCACCAGCGCCCGGCCTCCAGCCCAAATTTTAATCTTCTGAGGAAGAGGACATAAAGAACACTGAAAGAGGAACATCTACCTACTTATTAGATTTTTAACAAAATAATGTACATATGTTTAAAGCATTAAGTAATCTTAGTATTGGGGTCCAGCTCAGTGTAGAGTGCCTGACTAGCACATGCTGGGTCCTGAGTTTGATCCTACTATTCATTTTTCTGCCTTTTTAGAACTTTTGTTCTGAAATTTTGCTGGCAATACCTTGGTAAAGGTTGTGTTTTCACTGACTTGGGAC